ATTCAGGAAAATACAAAAGGACGGCTGATGGTGACTGAGGTGTCTTTGTCCTATGTACAATGTTTCTTGTATCTTCAATAAATGTCTCTATTTTTCATAACACACGGCTGGATACTTTCTGGACAGACCTCATCCGGTTGTCTTTAGGTAGTTTTAGGCAGTCTTATTTACTTGCAGGATTTGTATCCAAATCTCTGTCTTCCCAAAGGGAGGCTTAGCCATTGTTTATATACACAACATGCTGATTTTTTTTTTTTTGGCAGTTGGCTACATTTATCCAGTTGGGTTCCTGCCAAGCTTAAACTATTTACAGCTGTGTTTGCAAAATACTGCGTTACATTTTAACATTTAGTAAAAATAGTACCATTTAATAAGAACTGCCCAGACCTTAAGACCCTTTTCCCGAGAAACTAATTCCTGAGAAAAACAATTAATAGAGCAAAAAGGAGACTTAAAAACACACACAATTAATATCATAAGAAGGACAAGAAGAAATCATATCTCTATGAAACAAAATAGGCTCTTAAGAACAAAGATCTTAGAAATAAAAGAGTTAGTGCCGAAAAACAAAGCAGGCAAAACACCAAACCCCAAAACAACTTGTCAAATTGACTGGACGAATGAGCACAGCACTGGAGTTAAATAGTACTTAGAAGTTTGAGCTAAGAAATTCTCCCAGAGCATAGTGCAAAAGACAGAGAGATAAAAAGTATAAAAGAAAAAAGTAAGAGACATGAAAGGCAGATCCAGGAATTCTCATATCCACTCTGAAGAAGTTCCACATGGATATAACAGAAAGAATTAAAAGAAATAAGCAAATAAATAATAATAGTAAATACCCCCAGAACTGAAAATAGATGTAAGTCCTCAAAATGATAGTCCACAAAGCGCTGGACAGGATAAAGACACATCATATTGAACTTTCAGAATATCTTGAATAAAAAATAATATTAAAATTTTTACAAATTTTATGGAAAAAAATAAACTGTTCATTTTAAAATGGTTAATTTTACACCCATTCACCTCAATTTTTAAAAATGTTGCATGAAAAAAGCAACTAGTCCAGCCTAGAACTCAAACAATTATATACAGCTGCTTTTTAAAAAAAAAAAAAAATTTTTAGAGAGGGGATGGCTGGGACAAAGAGCAGAGAAACATAGACGTGTGAGAGAAACATTGATTAGTTGCCCTCTACACGTACCCCAACTGGGGACTGAACCTGCCACCCAGGCATGTGCCTTGACTGGGAATCATGCAGATGACCCTTCACTTTGTGGGATGACACTCAATCAACTGAGCCACACTGATCAGGGCTACAAGTGCTTTTCTTTGAGGCAACCATTGTACTTCAGTGTGCAGAAGTATTTTATGCATTATTCACATAAGAATATTAAGAGATGTATACTTAAGTACCAAGATGTAATACAAATAATAAATTTAAAAAATAATATGCAAGCCAAATTTCAGGTGACAAAAAGAAGAGGTTGGTGGGACTTCCAGTCAAGATAGAGAGGCATAGTTAAACATGGCTCACCTCTTCATGCGAGCACATCAAAAATACAACTAAACTATAGAACAGCTATCATTCAGAACAGTCAGAAATTCAGCTGCATGGAAGTCCAACAACTAGAGAATTAAAGAAGCCATATCCATCCAGACTGGTAGAAGGAGCTTCATCATTGAAATACCAAAGCTTGATCAACTAATGAGAGTTCCAGCCAAGATGGAGGCGTAGTAGAGACCCTCTGCTTCCTCACCCAATCAAAAAGAGGATAACAACCAATCTGAAGTCAATAAACAACCAAAAGTGCCAGAAAATCAAAGTTCATGGAACTCCAACAACAAAGGAATTAAAGAAAAAATTAACCAGAACAACCAGACCAGTAAGAGGTGGACTACTTTAGTCAACTCAGAAAAAAACCCAGCGGCATGGTGGACCTTGGGGGCAGGGCTGGCTGCTGAGCTTGGGGGCTGCATGGGAGGGGCTGACTTAGGGGGGACTCAGAGGTGGCTGTGGGCTACTGTGGTTGTGGCAATAGGAGAAGCTCCGAATCTCATGTTCAGGAAGAAAACCAGGACTCAAAGCAATGATTTGGAACAAAAGGAAAAAATAAACATCCATCCAGAACAAAATGAGTAAGAATTCAAAAAAGTGAAGAGACTTTTACAAACCTCTGGGACAACCTGAAATGGTCCAATATCCGAATTATAGGGGCACCAGAAGGAGAAGAGAAAGACCAAGAAATGGAAAACTTATTTGAACAAATAATGAAGGAAAACTTCCCCAATTTGGTAAAGGAAATAGACTTTCAGGAAGTCTAGGAAGCCCAGAGAGTCCCAAAGAAGTTGGACCCAAAGAGGGACACACAAGACACATCATCATCAAGTTATCCAGTATTAAATATAAAGACAGAATCCTAAAAGAAGCCAGAGAAAAGGATAGAGTTACCTACAAAGGAGCTCCCATTAGACTATCAGCTAATTTCTCAAAAGAAACCTTGCAGGCAAGAAGGGACTGGAAAAAAGTATTTGAAGTCATGAAAGACAAGGACCTACATCCAAGATTACTCTATCCAGCAAAACTTTCATTTAGAATGGAAGGGCAGATAAAGTGCTTCCCAGATAAGGTCAAGTTAAAGGAGTTCATCATCACCAAGCCCTTATTATATGAAATGTTAAAGGGACTAACCTAAGAAAAAGAAGATAAAAAATATGAACACTAAAATGACAACAAACTCACAACTATAAACAAATGAACTTAAAAGCAAAGAAAAACAACCAAAAAACTAAGCAAACAACCAGAGCAGGAACAGAATCAGAGACATGGACATCACATAGGGGGAGTTCAGTGGGGAGGGGGAGGGAGGAATGGGGGGGAAAAAGTGCAGGGAAGAAGAAGCATGGTTAGTAAGCATAAGGTAGACGGGGAGAGATAAAAAATGGTACAGGAAACAGAGGACCCAAAGAACTTATATGTACAACCCATGGATGTGAACTAAGGGGGAAGGAATGCTGGAGGGTTGGCAGAGGGGGTATAGAAGAGGAAAAATTGGGAAAAGTTGGGGGGGGAATAGCATAATCAATAAAAAATATAAATATAAAAATAAATAAATAAACAAGCAAAATGCCAAAGCTTAAAGAGAGATCTTAAAAGCAGCAAGAGAAAAGCAGTTAGTTACCTACAGGGGAATTCCTATAAGACTCTAGCTGATTTCTCAAAAGAAACTTTGCAGGCTGGAAGGGATTGGCAAGAAATATTCAAAGTCATGAGAAGCAGGAACCTACAACCTAGATTGCTTTAGCCAGCAAAGCTATCACTTAGAATCTAAGGGCAGATAAAGAGCTTCCCAGACAAGAAAAAAAGTAAAGGAGTTATCATCATCAAACCATTAATATATGAAATGTTAAAGGACTTATTTAACAAAAAGATAAAATCTACAAATAATAAAATGGCAAAAATACTTACCTATCAACAATTGAACCTAAAGAACAAACTAAGCAAACAAAAGAACAAAGAATCATGGATGTGGAGAGCATTTTGATGGTTGCCACATGGGAGGAGGGGTGTGGGGAATGGATGAAAAAGTGAGGGGATTAAGAAGTACAAATAGGTAGTAACAAAATAACCACAGGGACGTAAAATACAGTATAGGACATGGAGTAGCCAAACAACTTAAACGCATGACCCATGGACACGAACAAGGTGTAGGGATGGCTTAGGGAGTAGGGGCTGCTGAGTGGAGGTGGGGCAAGGGGGAAAATCAGGACAACTGTTAATAGCATAATCAATAAAATACAATTTTTTAAAAAACAGATTGTTTTTGAATCTACTTCTAAGAGAATAAAGAGTCAATTTCTACAAAGCCTAATCTTATATTTTAAAAAGAAAATACATCAAAACACAAGACTAATAAAAATAAGACAAATTTTTAATGTGGCAGAATTCCATGTATTTTTTCTTTTGTCTAAAACTTTTATAACAAGGAAAAAAATCCAGTTAATAAATTATATTCACTTTTTTAAATCTTGTCTTCTGACGTAATGAAAGTACCTTGAACAATAAGATATGAATTTATAAGTTTTACTTACCACTCTTGTTTACCTAAGCAATTAAAAGTATTATTCAATTATTTACAATAATCAGGAAAACCAAGGTTGTATCTATGTCTATAATGTAGTCCAGAGGACCAAGAAATTAAAGTTATGGGCTATCAGTGGAAGATCAACGCTAGAATTTGATTAGCCCTCACAACAAGAAAACAAGTCCCCATTGTTGAAAAACTTTTGACAGCCACCTTCTACAGAACGGGTAAATGCTGATTCTGGTTCATGATCTGAAATATCACTGATCATGGCAGATTTTTGTCACACCGAAGTGTTAACTATTTATAATAAAAAATAAGTATTTGGTCTCTGTTCCTCACTCCTTGTACACAGCTCCTAAAACCCTTGAAATCTCCAGAGTGATGAGTGTTTTTTATATGCTAATGAGTTGGCCTGTGGCTGGGGACCAACTAATAGCTTCAGGAAAGAAGCTAGTTACAAGAAAGACCAAGGCACGATTAGAGGGTTGGAACTCTCAGCTTCACCAACTACCAGAGCTCTGTGGAGGGAAAGAGAGCTAGAAATAGAGTTAATGACCACCAATGGCCAGTCATTTAATCAATTTTGCCTTTATAAGGAAATCTGCGTACTAACCCCCAAAGCCATGGGGTTTGGAGAGCTTCCAGGATGGTGAACACATGATGAACACAGGAAGATGATGAGAGGATGTAGCATTCCATAACAGTCTCTTCTCCAATACTTTGCTCTGTGGTTCTCTCTTCTATTTGGCTGTTCCTGAGTTATTTCCTATAATGAACTGGCAAAGTCAAGTAGTTTCCCGAGTTCTGAGTCATTCTAGCAAATTATTAAACCTGAAGAAGAGGTTTGTGAGAATCCCCAATTAATAGCTGGTTGGTTTGAAGTACAGATGACCTGATACTATTGGCATCTGAAACGTGGGCAGTCTTATGGGACTAACCCCTTTAAAAATGAACTGTAGGTAGTTAGTGTCAGAATTGAATTGTTGGGCTGCCAGTTGGTGTATGGAGAGAGTCAGAGAACCAGCTGGTGTTGGAAAATATTTTGGAGCCACCATTCAAAGGTTAGTCTACACAATGTAGCACTCAAATTGAAAAGTAAACTTGGGGAAATGAGATACATTAATGCATTACAATCACAATTATATTGGAACAGTAAGAGAAAGAAATGTAACAAGCTGTTTAAAAGTAAATGTCTTTGATAGCAAAAGTGATTTTCCTCAGTTTTTACTTTTTCATTTTCCTAATACTTCCAAAATGAATATATACTTTCCTATGAGAAAAAAAAATCAAACCTGTCTTTTGGATTAATATGTTTTACTAGTGTAATTCTTGAGAAATTGTATGTATTACTTTAAGAAGTTTGTCTATGAAATTACTACTAAAACTAGCTCTTAACCCATATTTAATATGCAAAATCTAAATTAAAGATGTTAATAAAAATTGTAGCTATGCCATGGTTCTGATATATTCTAAAGAAGCATTTGTCTTTTTTTTTACTTTATTTATTTTTAAAAATATTTTATTTATTTATTTTTAGAGAGGGAAGGGAGGGAGATAGAGAGAGAAACATCAATGTGCGGTTGCTGGGGGTTATGGCCTGCAACCCAGGCATGTACCCTGGCTGGGAATCGAACTTTTTTACTTTATTTTTGTTTACACTATTACAGATGTCCCCATTTCCCCTCTCTGCCCACTTCCCCCCATCTGTCTTGATGCTATTAAATAAATCAACATTTCTAACCAGATTTAAAAACTGAAATATCTTAGGCAATGGCAAAAGAATTAAAAGGAAATTAGGCAATATTTGCTCTGGCTGGCATGGCTCAGTTGGTTGGGGGTCATCCTGCAAAGGGAAAGGTTGCCAGTTTGATTCTGGGTCAGGGTACATACAAGCCTGGGTTTCAGGCCCAGTCCCTGGCTGGAGTGTGTGCCAGAGGCAACCGATCAATTTTTCTCTCACACATCGATGTTTCTCTCCCTCTCTTTGTCCCTTCCTTCCTCTCTCTAAAAATAAATTTTTTAAAAAATTAAGCAATATTGAATACTGAATCAAGCCATATTTTGACATACAAGTCTAACTTGAGACAAATTTTTATATGTGAAAGCCAAATGAAAACGTATCGTTGACCTTCTAGTTGCCCAATAAAAGATAAACTTTTCTTCCTAAAGAATTTTAAAAATTTTGTAACCCAAGTAACTTTATTATGAAAAAATGTTTTTTAATTTACTTTTCAGGACTCCCTCTAGTTTACTATTTCTAATTTGAATTTTAATTCTGTTTATATTATAGTTTGACATAAAAAAGTTTAATCTAGGTTTGTTTATGAAATCTGTAGTTTACCTATTTTTCTTGTATTCCTCTAACCTGATAGTTGGCTTAGTAAGATAAAATCATAGAACTATAAAAACTAGAGCCAAAAAAGGTTCTAGTGATTGCTAGTCTTCCTACCAGAAATCTTAAAAAAAAAAAACAAAAACAAAAACAAAAAAGACAAACAAAAAAAACCCTTCTGAATTCTACTTGCTAAGTAGTATGTCTTCCAGTTAAAAAAACAAAACAAAACCATACAACTGTCCATGAAACTTGCTCAGTAAGAGACAACTAGTATACAGAGATTTGGTATATTTTTAGTCAAAGGTAATTTGATGTTTTAGTCTCATCTTTATAAAAAGTACACAATTTCTATTGGGCATTTTGAAAAATAAAAATAACTTACAACTGCTCTTCCCTTATCTAGTACACCCCACTGATGAAGAGAGCCTTGAATGAACCATTTAGTCCAACTTCCTCATTTCATATATAAGGTATGTTAATGAAATAATCTGATAAGTATAGACAATTTAAATGAAATGAAATGCAACCTCAAGTGGACTATTTCCACCAGTGATAAAATTAAGAAATGCTTCACACTATACACATTATAATTTTCTTTAAGTCTTTTTTTTTATTTAGAGATTTTTCTGGTAAGGAGATATACCATAGGAAAGCAATTTCACTGGCAGTGAGGTATGTATATACTCTACCAAAATACTCCTTATTTTAATGTTTTTAACTTTATTTACATACAAAAAAGTATCAATGCATATCCTTGCTTCAACTATAGTATTAGTCATACTACATGAAATAAAATAAAATGGTGCTTGCATACAAAAACTGTTATTTGTAAAGGAATCTGATTTCAGATTAAATGAAATAATCTGTTTTTGGAAAAAGTGTAAAAGAATAATCACAATTTATCATGACCAAGACATCTGCACCATTTTTTCCATTCCTCACAGCACATTTATTTCAGTAATTCTGTCATGTCGGTTCTTAGCATAAGCATAGTGTTACACGATTTTCGTACATATAATCACATCCAAAACAAGTTCTAAAATTTAAATTGTAAACATTCTCATCATATGTAGAAATATTTCAATTGGTGTATTAAGTTTTGCTACTGATCAATTTGGAAGAGAATATAAATGAGAAAGCCTATTCTAAATTGTGTAGTTGTTTATTAATTACATTTCTACAATGTTAAATAAAGTAAGAGGCAAACCTGTCCTGTAAGCATGTCAGATTTTAGGTAAAACATTAAAAAGAAACAAATCTGTTAACAAAAGGATGCCTTGCAATAAAGAACATTAGATTTTTAAAATCTATTATGATACAAAATGTAAAGGGTAAATAGCATCTTTGTTGACAAAATAGGAGGTAGCATGGATGCACCACTTTATTGTCTGAGAAATGCAATTGGAGTAAAGAATATTTCCTTACCACAAATAATTTCCAGGACTATGTACATATTTCTTTTAGAAATACTTGTTTAAACAAATCTCCCTCCACTTTTTAGTATAAAAAAAACCTTTCAATGTGATTTAAAAAAAACACTTACACATCTAGATAGAATAGTACTCTGCCCTATTTGAGTGAACAGTCGCAATCTATGAAGTACATGATATTTAATGCCCTAAGTTGAGTAAATTTAGTTAGCGGTTCCAGGTATTATACAAAACACTAATTACATACAAACAAAATATAATATCTTATTTTTCAATGCAAGTCTTGTGGGAAATAAACAGAACCTTGATTCTGGTAACACTGCAGAAAACAAAATTTTCCAATAAGTCTGTCTTTCTCCATGTGCAACAGTTTATTAATGACTGCTTACATGTATTGATCTTTTACTGAGTGAGTAGTTAACTGACAAAACCCAGTAAACCTTAAAACATCTCTTCCATCCTATAAAATATATAGACTACTTACTGTTTGAAGTACTCAATTTTGTTCTGATGTCACTGTAATTCACTTTCCCCTGTTTTCCTGTTTTAGTATTTATAAATGGATAATTTAATGTGGCTTTAAAAAAAGACAAGAATTTCAAATTTACATCCAATTCATATTTTCTATTTAAAAGGTTTCCTTGTTCTATGAAGCTGCTTCTGCCATTAGTAGAGAAAATGAAGTTTCTGTAATGGAGGCAGGCTTTTTAAATAGTGATGTGACTTCCACCATGCCAGCTCCAGTCCGTGGAAGATTAGCGTTTACGATGTGTCGTTGTAAGTGCTTAATCCAGTCTTCCTGAACAGACAATGGTCCACGAAAGACTAAGCCACAAAACCTGCAGGCAAAGTTGACAGTTGTCTTAATAGGACCAATTCCCTTTATTTCAAACCAATTCCCATAAAATCCGTCAACAAAATTAAACTTGACAATATATTGGAGAGACTTCTTGACAATAGTTCCTAAATACATATAAAGCCAAAATGATTTAATGCAATATCAAAACTGCCTATTCATATATTTAATAGCTATAATAACTCCAGTAATATTTGTAGAAATGGGAACATGATTATTTGGTTAATATTAAATAATAGGTTTTAACACCTACACTTAAAACAACTATATTTCCAAAATGTACCAGTCTTTTTAAAGGATCCTTACTTAATTCAGAATTCCTTAAACTGCCTGAGGGTGAATATGGAGGGAGGTGTGAATAATTTGGGTAGCTATACTTAAAAGTATATCTTCCTACTATGCAGAAACGAAATGTGTTCCCAATAAGTAGAAACTAATGACAATTTTTTTAAAAATCAAACAAAGCAAATAAAACAAAAAAGATACTTTTATAATTCACATAGACTCTTAGCTAATACAAAAAAGTTGATCCATCAGTTAATGAGGTACAGCATTTATGAACTAAGATTTTTAAGCTTGTCTCCAAAAGTTCCTTTATAATTTAACTGAGGATATTGCACTTCCTGCCACAAATTAAAAGTCCCTAATAAAATAGCTAATATCTCTCAATGCAAAATCTGAAGAAAGTAAGCAGATCTGGCGATAGAACAGACACACATACCTGCATCTGAGAATGTAAACCTCATCAGCACCATGAGGTAATGTTAGCATTTTCTTCTTGCTTCCGGATCTTGACCTTGATTTCTTTTGCTTACAATCTAAGGCTGAAAAAAGGGAAAAAGAGAAAGACTGAACATTTCTTATATATTCCAAAATATATATAAACACATACACAGACATACATGTATTTCTAGAGAGGTCAGACCATCTAAATCAAGTTAGAAAAGTCCGTATTAATTTGTATTCTCTAAAGCATGCACTGAATTGAAGCTGGTTCTCTTAGCAGTAGTAACATATCTATATATACTCCTCCTGTACTGCTTTTTCAAATAATGCTTTACCATACCAAACCAAGAAATATAACTAAATCACTTAAAATTACTGAACTGGTCAATTATTACAATAGTAATAGTAATCTTTTCTCTTAAGATCATATATACTTTAACATCTGGTTAAATCTTCCTTATTTCCAGGAAACTTATAACCTTTTAGTTAAGTTTGCACTTGATCACTACTCCATTAGGTAGATCTTACAAGTTTTAAAAACTTAGTAAAGAAACAACAATGTAATAAGTTCAATAAAAGAACTTTATTTATAGCAATTCACTCTTAATTCTATACTAAAGAGCTCTTAAAATTATTATGATAGCCCTACACTGGAAAGGGCAAAAAAAAGTTCAATTTTCAGTTTTTTAAACTCAATCTATATGACATGTACAATCACATATGTTTTATTTTCTGGAAAATAAATACAAATCCAGATTATTTCATGTAAGTTTACAAACAGACTGGGATTTAATGTTAACTATTCTTTACATGTTTTCATTTTACATTTTCTTATATAACTATTTGAAAAATGTAATTAAAAAGGAAAAACAAGATTTTATATTAAAGTAAATCAAAATTGTAGTGCTAATTATTCTTGAAGTTTTTCTATTGCTTTTCCTTCAGTTATTTCACAAAACATAACTTAATAAAGAAAAAAGATATTTTTATAGGTAGGAACAGACAAGACATTTTGTTTGTCTCTAAATACAACTACACCATGCCTCTGGACAAAGTAATGATACTATTACAGGGTGCTATTGGTCAATTAGCAGGAAGAGAAGGTAAGAGTTTTTAACTAGGGATTCAAGTGGGAGGAAAACATATGTAACAGAAGAGTTACACATATGGCTTTTCTTTGGTTAACCTGCCATGTGAAATCCCCTGGGAAAATTTTAGGTAAAAGAGAATGGAAACTGGCTATTCAATGATTCTGTGCAATGAGTTGCTCAAAGTCCAGATTCCAAAAGAACAGATGCTACAATTACAAAACCAGTAAACATACAAAGCCTTATAATAGTCAAGTGGCCAGTACTAACGAAAATGTCATACAGAAAATTGAAAACCATGAGAAGCCTAAATCTCATTCAAGCCACTGGTTTTTGCTTCCTGTTACCTGCCTCTTTAAAGGTAAAATCTAGGGTCCACGGTCTCTCTCTGCTTAACCTCAGAAGAAGAATCTCCTAAGTTAAGAACTACATACAGGAAGTAAACTAAATATTAAAGAATGGCTAATTCAAAGCTTCAACAAAAACCTGGAGTAGAAAAATCGTGTGAAGTTCTCATTACTTATGTCAGTCAAGAAAGAGCCTGGCACATAATAGGAACTCAACAAGTACCATACTTCCAAAGCAAAAAACAAAAACAAAAACAAACAAAAAAACAAAACAAAGGAATACCTGGTATTTTAACCTCTGACATTTACACTGCATACAAGTGAAAATTTGTTCTATCAACATGTAATATAAATTAACATTCATGTAGAATACCTGTGCATAATTTTTTAAATGAATATGTTGCTAACATCACACTTCAATTCTGCACTAATCAGTCTAGCTTACGTGTAGAAAGTTCGTTCTTCACAACTAGTAGGAAGAGTGAGGTATTATGTACTTTGTAATCAACACTTTTTCCCTAGTTGCACTGGTGAGCAATGTCAAATTAAGTAAATTTTAAAGCAATTGATGCATTAGAAGTAAAGATTTTAGGACACTCAAAAGCTAGATGTCAGCTACCCTTTATAAATCCTTTTTATAAGGTAAACCACATACAATCCCTGTTTCTGTTAAATAGAACAGAGCAGGTATTTGGTATATCATGAGATTACAGGTAGAATCTTACTTTCATGAGCTTGCTTGTTGTCAAAATTGCCACTGTATTCAAATTCCCTTTAAAATGTAAATAAATTACTGTAGGATAGAAATAGAATACATTATAGCAATCCTTTAAAACATTGTCCACAGAATGCTAATGTTAGGTGTGTAAAACAAATTGAGGGAGAAGGGCAGAGGGAGATGAGGAAATATGCAAAAGAATGTTTTATCAGTTATAAAGTATTCACAGTACATTCAGATGCTGTGGTACTTTCAAAATGAACTGGACATATTTACTCTGAAGTAAAAACATTTTTTGACTCTAACCAAGGAAAAAAATAATTTTTCTGACTTTTGATTTTATGTGGACTCTAGAAATCCAGAATTTTAGGCTATTCTATGAATGATCAGCTCTAAATTTTAAATAAGCATGCCAGATTTTGTAGTAATTAATACTTGAAGGTATTATGACCTTGGAAAATGGGACAACTCTGCCAGCATATGATTATCTCCAGTATTCAGGATTCCATTTAAGTTTAGAGAACCACATACCTTAGGAATCCTTGGAAACTTATCCATAAAGTAAGGGTATTAAAAACCTGGGATCTCTGGTAATTACACACATATATTTCTCTTACTATTTCCATGATCATTTCAAAATGTCTTAGCCCCTGAAATGTCACTTATTTAACTAGAGAGTAAGAAATGAATACATTTTACAAGAATAATTTTTTCTAATACCAATATCCAACCTTTACCCTTGCAATATTGCCTAAACAATTCTGAAAAATCTGTAAAAAAAATGAGTAACATACCATTAATATGCACACAAAAGGGACACTTATATGGTATCCTCTACATGAAAAAGATGCTTCACACAAAATGTTCCATTAAATGAAAAGGATGATGTACAAACATATCCATTACATAAACATTCTCATTTAACATGCTTTATTACATATAGAGAGAAAAGCAGTTTTATTCTGGACTATACCAGGAGTCACTAGAACATTTTTTAAAAAGACTATCACTAATACATTCAGTTTTAGTATTTGTGATAAAAACAGCCAAAGGTTTAACAAAGTTGTATACACTGATAAACTGCCAAACAGATAACTGTACAAAGCCTTTATTTGCACTTGTTAGTGTATAAAACCAAAACACATATACACTTTTTCTGTACAAAGTATTTTAAATCTAACATTGTTTCTATACTTGAAATTTACAAAAAAACCCTAGATTAGTTTTAAAATATCTTATTTTCTCGAGGATAACTGCTTCTTTAGAAAGGAACAAACCCAGTCACTCGAACATTCCCAAGGTTCCTTCCTATTCAGGGTGGCAGAAATGTTTAAGTGATTAGTTTTAATTAGAAGACTGTAAAAAATATTGTAGTTATCTGGTTTATTAAGGATCTAAATTGTTACTGGGAATATTTTACATGTAGAGAAAATGAATTGAGCTATACAGTCATATACACAAAGTTTTAGAATATGCCTTTCAGTAAAATAGCTATTTTGATCAAATAGGAATGAAAAAGAAAAGTGACTTATGAGCCCTCAAAAAAACCCACCATATTTCTATGCTACAAAATACAACAACAACAACAACAACAACAACAACAACAACACATATGTGGTGTAAAGCACTAAACTGGACCGGTGAAAAGCAAAATTAATAAATAATACAGTAAATTCAAAACTTTTTCTAAAATACTATTTAGTCTTATACATAGAAGAAAAAGAATTTACTTTGGGCTATAACATGATTAAATAAGTCCTTTTGCCCATTCCACCTTTCTGCCCATTATATATAATTGTTCCAATAAATTTCATTTTCTTTTTAATTTACTACACAAATGACCTCAGAGAATGAGGATTTATTTCTTAAAAACATCTGTGGTAAAAAAGCTTATCATAACTAAATTAACATTCACCACCAAATATTCTTATTCACAATCATTCTCTCCTGACCATTTAGTTATAAGCCCCCATTTCATCTGTTCTGTTCTTAACAGATGGTTGGTATCTCTGGGGTGAAGCAGAACTTAATGGCCAGGTTTTTTATATCTCATATATATGTATGTATGTATATATGTGATATATATATTATATTTACATATAAAGCAAATTTGTATGTATCTCCAAAATAAGAGGCATGAAATGGCCTTACAAGAGGGAAGAAAATTTCTTTATCTAGGACTGTATAAGGTAGGCAGGTAATAGATGCTATGAATTCATTCAGGAAGAAAGTAGGGAGAAAAATGACATGAATAGGTAAGCCATCATTCCACTACCATTAAGAAGCTGGTGGTGGAGGTGATAGTGGCAGTGGTGAGGAGGAAAGAGGATGATGCATAAGCCCCAAGAGGTACACAGTGTGATGTGGATAAATAAACAAATCCAGTTGGTGCCATTAATTGTTCAAGGTTCATAAGCCCCGAACATGTAAAGACTGCAAATTGCATTTTCTTTTCCTCAGCCTCAGCCAAAAAAGGAGCATGAATTTCAGTGGGGTGGGGGAGTTAACACAGGAATGGGGGAAAAGCCATTTGTTGAAAATGGAAATTCTTATTTCTTCAGTGTACACTTCTGTCCTTGCATAAGGTGCCTAAAAAGACATAGTTCATGGGTGTACGTCTCATTGGGTCGTACACTTCATTTAATGCCACACTGCCTCAATCCTGAAATTCTTAATAATTTTTTAACACAAGGAGCTGTATTTTCACTTTGCACTGGACCTTGCAAATTATGTTGACAATTCTGGGTACTGAGTACCCACCACTCTAAATGAGAAAGGCAACTAAGCCTTAGTTCCACCTCTTCATCTCTTAACCCTTTAAAAAAAATCTACTAGCCCAGATGGGTTGCTGGTTTGATTCCTGGTCAGGGCACAAACCTAGGTTTCAGATTTAGTCCCTAGTCAGGGTACAAGAGGCAACCAATCAATGTTTTTCTCTCTGCCTC